ATCATAAACCAAACCAGATGTACGAAATTACGCAGCCTCAGTCATGCCTTTTCTTAGGTGGTTAAATCTTAATGCCCTAGCATTAGAGTTTACGAGAGATGGTTTCGTAATCTGTCTTACACACTTAGAAGATTACGTCTCATTATCTCAACAAAACTTACTTACGGACCTATGCAGTCTCGGTCAAGGCTTTTTCATGGGTCCTTAAGCCTTGATTACTACAGCTCGACATTGACCTTTTTGATCACTCTAATTTATGACCGTTATTGCGTATAGATGTCAAAACACATGGACACTCGAACAAAAGTAGCAGGACTAATACGGGAAATAATTTGCCGAACGATTCCATATATATCTATGTGTTTTACATTCCCGTTGATTAATTGAGTATATTGATCAAGAAATGGACTTCACATGTCTTTGACGAAAAATAGCTTGGTGCTAAAAACGTTAAGGCTGAGGAACGATGACGGCGAAAAGTCTGATAATCAACTAACTTCAAGGTTTGTCGCTAGAACGTATGATGTCAGAGGGCGTCGGACTAGTCACGTTCATTGAGATCATCTTGTCAACACAACCAAGTTGCAAAAATAAGGTCAAACCACTAAGCTACAGCTAAAATGGAGTCCATATTGTTGGGTTTTTACAATCTGGATATCAAATTCAACGAATTTTTTGAAAAGCTAAAAAAGGGAGATGGCTGAGTAATGAAAGATGCAAAAACTCAAAATATGCATTCACCGTGATTAACGGTATCTTAATGAATATAGCTAATGGCTAGGAAGTATAAATATATAGGCTTAGGATTTCACACATTAACCTTCATTAAGTGCACATGCATGAAGTGATTAGTAAAATGTGTAATATTTCAAGCTTTTAGATCGATCCTTGTCCAAAGAGTACAAATAAGCAGGGTGGAGACTGGAAAAGGAATTTAAATGTGATGTAGAGTGAAGAGAATAATGACACTATATTTAAAATATCCTTGATAGATTTCTTAAATTTCTTACATGATTTATGCACATATATAGTGAAGTACTTTTGATG